TTCGCCTTCATATGAGAAATGTGTCTGAGATGACGGATGATAGAGTGCTTTGGAGGACGAAAACCCGGTGCGCCGACCCTACGGGAGTAGGATAAGGGAGGGGAGATGATTTCACCTTCATATGTGTCCTTCCCATTCCTTATAAGATATGTTTTAAAAGGGAAAGTATAAGGGACAATACGAAGCCTCCAGCACACTCATCAGACTGTACGTGGAATTGCTCCCGCTTCACACATGTCTATGTGTTTGTTCTGTGTGGTCGTGGAATTACGTGTGGCGAACAGTTCGATCATGTTAAAGCGGATTGTACTACTTCTTCCCGTTATGCTATCCCCTATTTATTTCAAAGACATCAGATGGATAGATGGATGAATATTAGTAAGAAATTGTAGCCTTAACGGATGAATCTAGATGAAATTTGGCATAAATGTAGAGGAAAGTCTGGAAGAACACATAGGCTACTTACTTTTGTTTTTTTTTTATAATTCAACGCGGATGAAGTCATGGACAAAAGCTAGTAAAGTAATATTAACTAATTAGACAAACATATATGCAAAAAGAAGCATACCTACAATGTTCACACCTGGCTTGTCGATTTTGTTGATCGCCACAAGTATTGGAACTGAAAATGTAAAGGAAAATGAATATTTAATTTCAACATTATTACCGATTACAGTCGCTTTAACTATCGAAACATATACAAATTAAAAACATAGTCTTCTCTTTTATTGTCTTTGAAAAACATGAGATACATGGTAACTAGTGACAATCACAATACTCGAGAAAGATTGCTTATTGCTGAGCAAACTTAACAATAGTGGCCATACTAAACAACAACATTTTTTTTATTTATAGGCGGCCACCTGAATCCACCGAAATGGAAAGCGACCGCTGCCCATAAACATCCCCAATTGCAGATGCGTTGCCTACCCTTAATTGACGGAGGAGGAAACGCACATAAATAGGACATTTTCCCTTCATATGCATATCTTCCACTGTCAAATCCACTTTCAATCCTATCCTTTTAAGAAAAGGGTGGAAAGGGGACTGAAATTAGACCTAACACAGGAATGTGACTCCCTATATTGATTTAAGAGTATATTTTTTCGTGTTTTCTTCTATATTTTGTAAATTCTGTTTTTAATTTTTTTTGGTCAATAGTGTTTTATTTTATTATTAAATTCGATATTCTCACCGTTAGCCTCTCTAGCCATGCGGATGGACTCCACCGTCTGCTCCATGACGCCGTCATCCGCGGCCACCACCAGCACCACCACGTCGGTGGCGCAGGCGCCGCGCGCGCGCATCGCGCTGAACGCCGCGTGCCCCGGCGTGTCCAGGAATGTCACCGTCTCCCCGGACTGCAGCTTCACTGCAACACCCCTACCATGACATACTACTCTACTACTAAACACTCATTCCGGAATTTACCAATCTCATTAATATTATAAATGCGAAAATTTAGATAGATGCATGGATGTTTGTAGCCTTAACAGCTGAACGGATGTCAATGAAATTTAACGTAGATATAGGGGATAGTCTGGAAGAACACACAGGCAACTTTTTTTGTTGTTTTATTTTTAATTTCATGCAAACGGAGTCGCTTACACATAATAAACGAACAGTCGCGGATATCTTACAGAAAAAAAACTCCGCCTATTGTTACAATTAACCAATTAAGTAGAAGAGTTGCACAAACAGGAGATTTCTATCACATATTTTACATATTGGATTGTTATCAGACAGTTTATAATTTGGTGGGACAGGCCCTAAGTTTTCATTATCATAGCAATAATAATCATCTTACCACATACCTTCAAAAGCACCAATATGCTGTGTGATTCCTCCAAATTCCTGGTCCACCACAGCAGTGTCTCTCAGTGCGTCAAGCAGTGTGGTCTTGCCATGGTCCACATGGCCCATAACGCAGACCACCGGCGGTCGCGGCCGGAGCGCAGACTCCGGTGATGGTGGCGCGGGAACTGCATCCTTATTCTAAACATATTTTCAATAAGTATTTACAATTGGATATAAGACGTTGGTATAATAAAAATTGGTGGTTATGAGTTGAGAACACACCTCCTCTTCTTCAGTAAGTTCATCAGGTCGGGCCACAAGCTTGAACCGGCAGCCAGATATTTTTATAACCTCTCTCACAATCTGCGGATTGTGTATAACTGTATCTCTCTTGTACTCAGTGTCAGAGTTTTTGTCCGCAAATTCAAGTGTTTTAAATATATGTTCTGTAATTGTTCAAACAAATATTTTTATTTAAAGTTGTGACTATTAATTACTATTAAGATATTGATTTAAATTTATATTTCCACTGTTAAAATACTTGTATATAAACTAGTCATTAATTTCAGTATGAATCTCAGTCAGAAGAAAGTTCCATCTAAATTTAATAGTATCTATTTTAACACTACTAGCACCCAGGGTGAGATTTTTATAGCAACCCCTTTATAGCACCCTTAGCACTTTAGGGGGAAGATCTGTTCTCAGACCTGTGACACACCTCTACAGCATCCAAACGCTAGATCAAAGTAATTCTTACCAACATCCTTTTTAAGCACATTAGCTAAATCTTGAACAGTCATATTCCTCCATATTCCTACAACTTCAGAGCCTGCTTTTGGAGAATAACGTATTACACGCCTGCCATGATTCTCTATAGCCTAGAAAAAATACATTTTATGACAAATAGAGTAATAATCATGCAAGTAGATAAGACTTTTACTTACTTTTTCTTCTGCAGTTTTCCTTTTCTTGCAGAAAACCGTTGATACTGAAATATGACGGACCAAATGGTGGATAGTGTTCAATGAACACTTACTATCTACTAACTGCTTAGAAGTGTGTATTAAATAATCATTTCTGATCTGTCTGAATGGCAACCTTAAAATGTTGAAAAGTGATTTAAAAGTGGATTTATCCAACTTATATCTTTCGATTATTATTATGTAATTTACCCGTTCGCTTACCTTTTAAATAAAAGATTTCTATACATTTTGTAGTACTTTTAAACTTAACATTAAAATCATACCATAAGAAGAACCGAACTGTACAAAATTAAATTAATTCTGTCACACTCTTATAATACAATTTTTACGACGTTTCCACAAGATATTTTATGTATATAATATAGAAATCAATAACTTATTTTCAAAATATACATAACCTCCTCAAAATCTCTTTTTGACAATGACAAATGACAAGATTGGCAGAACAGAATACCACAGATTGTTACATTCTTTTTTTATCAAAAGCGAGGGAATCAGGCAAAGACACGAAGGTTTGTTGGCTACCAAAAGTTTTGGTAAAATTACTATCTATACGACACAAATATGCTAAAAAAAACCTATAAAATTCTTCATACAGTTGTATTAAAGAATCTGGATTAAAAATAATTATATAATTTTCTTGTTAACGGTTAATCTTAAAGTGTTCTCAAAGTATGAAAAAATAAATCATAGACAAGTACTATTTATGTCCGCCATTCATTCTTTTGAGTTGCTTTTTCGTTTTACGATTCCGTAGAGAGCACGATTTGTCATCGAGATCTACGCAACACCATTGCTTGGAATTAATTACGTAGAAGCAAAGAAAACAAGTGAGGTTTCGCATCCACGTATCACCAAGACCAACAAAGTTTAGTGAAATATTCTCTTCTGACACTAGATCATATCTTTCTACCAGTGATGCTTCTCCTTGCCTTATACGTTGTTGGATGCGACGTTAACTCGAGTGCCTGATGGTGTGGGAATTATGTGCGAGTAAAGGAACAACAAAGTCGGACTCAGAATGGGAGCCTTTTTGAACAAACCTGAAACTAAGAAATACAACGAGAACGGCGAAGGTAACGGTCTACGATATGGCGTGGCGTCAATGCAGGGTTGGCGCGTGGAGATGGAAGATGCCCACCATGCTCAGCTCACTTTAAACGGTACGCTGTCCGATTGGTCTTACTTTGCGGTATTCGACGGACACGCAGGAGCGCGGGTATCGGCGCATTGCGCGGACAATCTATTAGAATGTATCTTACAAACGGACGAGTTTCGGCGGGAGGAAATAGCCGAGGCGATACGAGCTGGCTTCTTGGACCTGGATAAAAAGATGCGAGAGTTGCCGGAGCTGTCCAACGGCGGAGAAAAGTCGGGTTCCACGGCGGTTTGCGCTTTCGTATCACCTAAGCAGATATACATTGCTAACTGCGGTGACTCTCGTGCAGTGCTGGCTCGGAATGGAGCACCGATATTTGCGACGCGCGACCATAAGCCAGAGTTGCCGTCAGAAAAGTCACGTATAGTGCAAGCCGGTGGGTCTGTTATGATACAGCGCGTGAATGGGAGTTTAGCGGTGTCACGGGCACTGGGTGACTACGAGTATAAGAAGGTGCTAAACCGTGGTCCCTGCGAGCAGTTGGTGTCACCGGAGCCTGAGGTGTCGGTGCATGAGCGGTCGGAGTCTGAGGATGAGTTCCTGGTGCTGGCCTGCGATGGGGTGTGGGATGTGATGACCAACGAGGCACTCTGCGCGTATGTTCACTCTCTGCTGCAGCTGACAGATGACCTAGTTACTATAACCAACCAAGTTATAGATACTTGTCTCTACAAGGTAACTGTTATTTTTAGATTATCTTAAAAACATACGGAAATGTAGACAAGTCAAGTATCATTACTATATTTTCACTTACTGCTTGAAGTACACGCAAGCATATTATACTCCTTACTTTAAAGTTCCGGAGCTATCTCAATTGCCTCTCATATTGAGAAATATTTCAATTATGAAGAATGGTTTTAAATAGAAGAGAGATTTCAATGTTCCATACATAAATATATTTGTAAACAAATGTTTAAGAAAATTTATTTATGTACATACATAGGTATTCCTATTCTTATTTGTCATCATATTTTTAGCCTGTTGCTAGTAACAGTTTTCACATGCATTTGAATGGGTAATTTTAGATCATACTTATAATTCAATTGTCAAGGCATTGCTTATGTATTGTTCATTTATAAATATTAGATAAGTCATCAGCACTTAGCGACCACATTCAATAAATATTTGAAGAAGCTATACTGTGGAAAATATCTATTGAAAGGGGAATATATGAAGATCTCAGTGCTACGCAATTTTACTGATTAAATAAAAATGAATATAGGTAAAAAAAGCAAGCAATTGTGTACCAAATACCAAATCTTGGTAAGATAAATTTCTATTCCAAGTTATACTAGTATTATTACAACTAAAGCTTGTATAACCTTTCCAGGGCAGTAAAGATAATATGAGCATCGTATTGGTGGTGTTCCCCGCGGCGCCGAAGCCGAGCCCAGAGGCGCAGCGTGCTGACCGCGACCTGGATGAGACGCTCCGGCAGCGGCTGACAGGTTGCTATCACTCACTACTGCATGCCTGCTCACATAAGCACAGATACACGGATAGCCAGGATGATATCAATGTTGATAGTACTCGGACATCCAATGATGCTAGGGGATAATGATTATGGTAGTGATGCCCCCCCATAGTTATACAACTAGCAATGAGTAACTCAACTAAAATTTAGGACCTGCAGATCAGCTCTTTTACCTATATGATTTGCATTGTAAATCACTGAGCTGTTCTCGAATTGTTAACACTCATATTTAGTACATTACATTTAGTTGTTGAGCAGCAGATCAACTAACTAAAGTTAAGTTAAGTTAAAAGCTGATTTACACACTACTAACTCCTGGACAATTCACACTACTCCTTAAACAAGTTTTTTCAAAGACTTATGTTATTTGCACGCTTATAGTGCTTTGTATATCAAAACACCAGTAGCAGAATATAGATATCTCTCAGTTTTTGTAGAGAAAAAGGGAGAAAAAATACTCTCAATAGGCTTTTATGGAGGAAGATTCTAGATCTCACGCCAGTTTTAGTTGTCTATATTTATTGATTCTGAATACATAATATGGACATTCTACAATTAAGCATATTGTCTTTGAAGCGGCATTCTATGTATGTTAGTTGGATGCAAGGTTATGAGAATTTACATTCATCAATAATACAGGTTTATCTCAATTTTTAAAGGATATAGATAAATAGCTACTTTATACAAATTTATTTATACTATTTTATATTAACTAGACTAAGTACAAATTTCATATTTAAATCCTCTTGTTAAATGTGTTTTAAAACTATAAGTACAAATATGTGATAGATTTTTTCATCGTAAATTCTAAATGTTCAAAGCAATATTTTATATATTTCAATAATATTATTGAATATTATTTAGTAGTAAGCAATTTATGTACACTTGTGTACACAAGTTATCAAGGGTAAATTGATTAAATATTGACAAATAGCAAATAAACTAGTATTAGATATTTTAAATATGATTTAACAAGTCTAAAAATGGCAGAAATATTTTTTTTTTTAGTTATCCTTTATTAAATATAGCATAAAATTTAATGTAACATAAATGGAACTTGCAATAGATGTTTTAGTAGAAGTTGGTTAAGTAAACTTTTCAGGGTTTTAAAAAAATAGTTTTTATGACAAAGGTTATTAGATCTATATTCCCATAGTGATAGGTATGACCTAGAAAAATCCATCTGTAGTTCCTCTGATGTTATGATGTTGGCTGAATGTCTATGGGCGTCGTTGACCACCTTAGTGTTCACGCCGCTTGTTTGCCCCCTATTATTATAAAAAAAAACCATGCGCCATATGATTAAATCATTTACCAATATTTTTAAGATCCTAGGGCTTTAGCTTATCATAAAAGTTGAGTGGTCCACTTTTAAAGACCAATTATTTTTTACTTACTCATGTGAATTATTTGTCTTAATTCATAGATTTTAAATACTCTGTCCTTATCCCACTTATGTATCTGTGCATCAGGTTTTGTCCTTATCAATCTATCATCTCAGTCACTCCCTTCTTCATCACAATATATCCATCTCTTTCTAGATTTACCTCTAACAGTGTACACACATAAAAGTTCTCCTTGTTACTTCTACCCTCCTCATGCCCATTCTATGCTAACCTTTTACTGCTTAAAAGATTTCAAATGTTTCTTTTTTCACAACATTTTTTTCCACAAGATGTTCTTATAAACATTGCATGGGGTCACTAAAGTCCTCAGACATTCAAATTTATACATCCTGCAGGTATGCATAATTTTCAGAATATATATGAGTTGTTTTTGATGTATTCAGATCAAACTCTGTGATCACTTGACTTTTAAATTTAGTTCTCTCTTACAGTTGATTTGTAGTTTGGTGTGTACTGAAAATCGATTTTTCCATGTTAAATTTAGTTTTCTTGTATCTAGCAAAAAAAATGGTTGCACAAAATATTAAAATGAGTAAATACTTAGAGTGTAATTGTTACTTAGATCCTTAGTGAGAGAAGTTTTGCTAAATGACTAGAAGTGACCATTTAATGACTCAGAATATTGGGTACATAAGATTAACTATTACTACACTAGTTCAACATTTATTAACACTATTTGCTGGAGCTGTTTACTAGAAAATTAGATTAATAATATCATCATGGTACATTTTCCCTCAAAGACTTATTATGTGCCTAACAATAATATTCCTTCCTTATTAAAAATTAACATAATTTCAATGTAAGGTATAGTTAGGGTCTAGTTTCATTAAATATTGTGTCTAATAAAATTATGAGTACATCAGCTATACTATACATCCCCACAAAGTGGCTTGTAGTCTACCCTTTATTATGAGTACATTTGTATATTTACTCTCTTGGACATTATTCTGGTGAAAAATGTTTTTTTCTAGATAGCAGTGTGGTTTTGGCAACCACAGCAATTAATTATTACATTTTTATATAAAACAATTTAATTCTAATACTAGGCGAGATATGGTCCTTCGGTTTGACCTTCAAGTCATAGTCAAGGTCACGATACGAGTCTTATAGATGAGGAAACTATAACAAATTCAATAAAGTTGTACAATACGTTTATATGGGTAAATTGCATGTCATCTAACACTTAACTTACACCCCTTTGTTTATGTCACTTGCTATTTTTGAAGATGACTGTACTGGAATAATCTTAAGTAGAAACAATTCTATTTGATATAGTGTATTGTTATATAATCATAATTTTTGTAACATACTCAATTAAATTTAAACTTTGCATATTATTACTTTTTTTTAATAAATATAAAAATGAGATTTTCTTATTATTACTCTTAGGTTGGCAGCCTGTTAAATTGATCTTTGTAATTTGTACTCGTTTTATTGTAACATTGTTACTAAATATTCAGATAAAGGTAATATATATGAATAACATTGTAAATGTTCCGTTTTATATAACCTCTTCTAACTTTGTTAGCGAAAATCTTTTGATGCGATGTTTGCAAATTTATTGAAACTATCGTCAAGCGATTTTCGCCTTATTTGTTATTAAATAATGTTCAATTTTATTCTAACCCATGTGATACATTGTGAACCCCAAGAGAACTATTTAGTCCTTTTCCCCTCAAGCCATAGAGTTATTAAGATTTTTAATATTGTTATCTCGTATATTTTTTATTAAATATTGTTTTAAAAAGCAACAACATGTTTCATTGCTTTAGTCCTGGCCCTGAGTTATTTTGACAGTTGTTTTTTTAATTTCCAAAGCGAGGGTTAAAGCAATGAACGTGTAGTCTTTATGCCACCGCGGTGTGTGTGTCGCGATCTCGTTCGTCAAACGGCATTTATATATAGAAAGAAGCCCTATTACGTATTGCGCTCGAGGAAATCTATCGTTTTACGGTTCTTATCGATCCTATTTGTTTTATGCTCGTGTACAAATTGCAGGTAAAAGAGTTACGTAATCGAGTTTAGAAGGAGATTTTTTTAAGATACATAATTAAACAATAGATTAAACGATTTAAAAGTAAAATTCAATTTGGTATTTTTCGATTATTTTAATATTAATATATGCGTGAAGATAAATCTAGTCTAAAATTAGTCGTGGTGTTGCAGTTATTAGCGATATAGGGTAGGTACGGATTAGGTCAATGTGGTTTATTTGCGCCCTTCACCCAGCGTGCGGAATCCAATTAGGAGCGTTGCAGGGATCTATTGCCAACACACTTTAGATGTAACAAAACACAAAACGAACGCCATGTGTATACATAGGTAACAAGTAAGAGCATCGTTGGAAGCTCTATATAAGTAGTTTGGAACAACTAGCAACCAGCCCCGGCTTCGCACGTGTCCAAACTGTCTCAAAAATGTGTTTATTTCCGACATTACATTAGAAACCTCTAAAATTCTCATTTCTCTAGTAGTAGAGTACAGTAGAAGTACTGTAGAGTAGAACCTCGATAACTCAAACCTCGTTAACATGAAAACCTCTATAATTTCAAAAAATAATGTTCCCTTACCATCAGAGCCCAAAACTTCTATAACTTAAAATATTTTGTGTTTCCCCTGGACTTTAACTTATCGAGGTTCTACTATATATTAAAACTGCTACAAATACTGCATCAAAATACGTTGCCTAGTTTCAAAGATCTAAGCATACATATAGACAGACAGACAGCGGGAAGCGACTTTGTTTTACCCCAGGTAGTAATCAATGTTTTTAAGAGTTAAATATCCACTTGATTTCCTATTCCTTTTTCTTCATCAACTGCCAGTAATGTTTTTTACTGAAGGTGGTACGATTATTACTATAGCAGTTTGCGTGGCTCAACTAAATTCTTATCTTAAAATGTTTTAAAATCTTAACTGCAATCTCTAATTACCAAATACCGAGTTCAAATACCACAAGGTTGTAAGGACGAACTGAGGTAAACCGCTGGTGTATATTTTATAACGTGACTTGCGTGCGCGGCTGTACCGCGGTCAATATAAAATTTGAACTATTCTAAAAATAAAACATGATCATGACTGATGTTATGCAGTTATCGAGTATAGACAGGTGACGAAATGTGTGTCATCATTGGCATTTATTGATGGTATTTTGATGTCACACTCCATGTACAGTCAGCTGCATAATGTGTACGTTTACGAAACTTTAGAAACTTGTATATAAATAAAGATAATGCACGTATGTCAATAGTATGTTTATGGAAGCATATAGATTGATTGGTACAAACATATTTTTAAAACAGAAAGTTTCTAAGGCTTTATAAATTGTACTTACTAATATTATAAATGCGAAAGTTTAGATGGATGAATGTTTGTTAGTTTGTAGCCTAAACGGCTTAACGGATTTCGATCAAATTTGGTATGGATGTAGACGATAGTATGGAAGAACACATAGGCTACTCACTTTTGCTTTTTTTAATTCCACGCGGACGGAGTCGCGGGCGAAAGAGTCGTTCTGATCAAACTTAAAAAAACTGTTTTATAACGTTTCCTTAAATTTATAAATATGGTAGAATGTATTCTCATACACCCATGTATTCATATCGTTATTAGTTACTATATTATGTAAAGATATTGTATGGAAGAAACGTGATGTATTACCAAACATGAGACATACTCTAATTTACTAGTCAAAATCTGTAACTTGACAGATCAGGAAAATAAATTGAAATCACGTAAGCGTGACAAAACACGTCGCACTGTTTTAAAAATAAACAAACAGAACTATGTATCCTTACTTATACAAAGTCATACATTTTTAATGAATAAATACTGAAATGTTTTCAACTGTACAACAACAACAACAAAAACTGTAAAATTGATATTTTATGTTAAATCTCTTTAATTATCCTATCTTTAATTTATCTCAAATTAGCTGTTCCCGTGCGACTTCATCCGCGTGAAATTATGAAAATATTGTTATATTGTTTACATTTGTCAAATTATCAATTACAAATGTCAAAATGACATGATATGATGACAACCTTGCTTCCTTGATGTTGGCAGCAACTTATGGTCTCTTTCCCACATTAGGGTTTTTATCCAAAATTTTTAATCCCTAAGTTTAGTGTTAAAATATATAGCCTAAAGCGTGACGTAAGTGGAGGGCTTTTTATTAAAATAAGAATTATTCAAAAATATACTGTAATTGCTGACATCTTAGGCAACAAAGAAGTTTATGTTTACGCTTTATTATAATACAAGCATAAGCAGATAGATATGAAATGATTAACATAATATTCTGGGATTAAACAATTTGTTACGCTTCGCTAATTTTAAGAAGGTTTCCACTATATGCTATCACACTCATTCACTCTAAAACAACGGAGATGGCAATATCGCAATATGTTTCGGTTATAGAAACACGGTTTTAATTCCTTTGTTATTTTCGATGACGAATACGGATGAGATCAATCCCTATAATTATGTTGTTTCCGTAACATTTGTGTCATATTTAATTAATTTCCCATGAGGATGATGTGCAGTAATATTGTTATGTAATGTTTACGAGATTTTTTTCTCATTCTATTGAAGAGAAGAAAATGATGTGATACAAAGTAAATATTGAACTGAAACTTTAGTATCCAAAATATTAATTAACTAGAGACCTCTGACTTCGACACCCCGGAATAAAAAGATTCCAATAATATTCCCGCGTGCGTCAAAATCAGTCAAGCCGTTTCAATGGTCTCGAACAAACACTTTTTAGTTAACAAAAATTTTAAAAGTAGAATTTGCAATGCAAAGGCATCAGTTGTAACAGTTGACATACAAACACTCTAATTTTGTTGTATGTATAGATACTGTTTAGTTCGTGATAACTGCGATTAAGAAAGCTTCAGTTTCCAGTATAAATATTAACCATCGGAAAGTACCGACTGGGCAGTCGCAAACAATGCCTCGTCGATGTTGATTTTAATCATTCAACAAACACAGACCAGTTTCGCACTGTTATAATTAAAAAGCAGTTTATTACTGATCAATTAACGTCTAATTACTTTCGTTCCAAGCTCTTGTATGAATACAATTGAATTTCTTATTGGTCACCAAGTTTTATGCTCACTGATAGCGTATATTTTTTATTGAATAAAATTTTTCTTTTTGACATAACATTGCATAACATTTAGTCTGTCTGTAAGTTAATCTGTGCTTCGATTTTGAACTATAAAACATTTAAGAGGCGTGTTATCGCTATCTCACAATATTCAACTAACATTGAAAGAAGTTGTGCTTTTTACATATACGCTAATATAAAATCAACTCTATTGTAACACACATTGAGTTTATTTTCGCTTGTTTCGCAGCACTGATCGAGCGCAACGCCAACCGTGAGGACCGCGACGAGATGACATGCCACTTCTCGTCCGTGCTGAAGCAGCTGGTGGAGGAGGATATACCCGGACTGCCGCCTGGCGGAGGACTCGCTGCCAAGTTAGTACACCGTTTCTAGAACATGCGATATCTGATGTCCTGATAGTTTTTAACCTTAATAATTGTCCACAGGCAAGCGCTCCTGGATAAGATCTACAGGGAGTATTATCCGGAGCACGCGGATAGCTCCGACACCTTCGACTGCCAGACGGAGCTGGCGGACGCATTTGGTGCCAACTGAACGCCTCAGCCCTTACCGCCCTCACTAGTGCCCCACCCAATAGTGCTCCGTTCAACTCTAGTGTCCCATCCAACTCTAGTGCCCCACTCAAATAGTGCTCTACTCAGCAGTATTGCAGCTAAACTATTGGTGTCCCAATAGTTCACACTAAGTTGCTGGTGCCCCATACACTATTCACAGCAGTAGTTACTACTGCTCGTGCAGTAGGGATGCACTAGTAATGCCCAGTGTAACAAACATTAGTGTTGTACCGTGTATCGATAATTTATCGATACCTGCATAAACACACCTATTGGGTCATTACTGTTCTATACCAGTCTAACGCCAAATATTGCAAGAGTACCATCCCGAACTCTCGTACACAAATCAAGCTCCAAAACAAAATTAAATGCGTATTTCTGTTAAAATATTTTTCTACAAATTTCGATGATAAAACATTATTAAAGAAGGGCTCTCTACAAAACAGATACATGAACTGCATAAAGGATAAAAGTAAATGTAAATTATATGTTGGGCACTAGGGGGCGCGTTTCATTTAGTTGAAAGTAAATGAAGAATTAAATGGAATTCCAAGTACCTGTCTATATCAATTCTGTCAACTCTCTAATTGTATATAAATACTAAGCATACGGGATTCTGTTTCTTTCTTACTTTAAACAAAAATTTGTACGACATCGTTGTGACAGGAGGGAACCGAATAATAGGGTTGAAATTGTCTCTGGTTTTAAGTGTTACATGCATATAAGATAAAATTTCATTTATTTAATAAAGTAATGTCACTTTAATTATTTATTCAATGTAAGAATGTTTAGTCATTTATTCATTTTAAGATTTAAAGGATACGATTATAATGTAAGCACCTCTCCTGTCGTAACGATGTATTTTTAAGCATATCTTAATGTCACTTGGACTACGTCGATTGTCGTTGGTTTCGGTCCTAAGCTTTGTACAAAAAGAAATGAGAACGCTTTACGTGTCACTTAGCCTGTCTGTAGAAAAAAATGTTGTCTATGGTAGGCTAATCTATGGCGGCGATCCATAGACGAAGTCGCAACTCAGCCGTTGGACAAGTGTAAGTTTGTAATACTCCACCCGCTGCCTTGATTTTGTTTTACCTTAAGTATTTTTTGTGTACGTCCATTTTGTTTTTCTCGACGGCCATTCCAGTGCAGCGTTGGCAGCCATAGACACGTTGCGTGGCACAAATCTCTGTTAACGCCAATCGTTTACCAAATTGAGTTTATAGTTTAATAATAAATGTATGCAGCGCACGGATTTCCCTTTAATTTGGTCGCCTTACATGTCATTTAGTAGACTAGTTTTTCTTTATGTTTTCTTTTCTGTTATGTCATTGACTTCGTTCGTAAATGTCATAATATTAGATGTGTAATATAGATTCGAGTAAAATATATATTGAAAAAAACAAACAGAATTGTCTTGACATGATTTTTTGTAACCCTTTGTGTTGTCTATGCCCGCCGATGACATCTGTGGACGATACTTCGGTGTGGGTATGCTTTAATGATATATTTTTTACACAAGTTGTAACATAACTAAAGCACATGTTTATCCAGGCCAGTCGCAACCTAGATTTATTTATTTTTATCTCTCAGTTCTAAATCTCTAAGCTCTAGTAAGAAAATTCAGTTGGCTTAAGATTTTTTCTAAGCTCTTGAACATGGCGTCTACATGTCTTGATGTTTTTGTCCAAAATACGCCGAAAATAATCAGAAAACTATTTTCAATAGCAATGTTCGAAGTCTATGCTTTTGCAATAAAAGTATAACTTTATCAAAACTATGTTGTTCATAGTATAACGCATTGCTAGAGTTACAACAGACATTAAAAACATACGCCAAATTTGACACCTGTCATATTTCCCGCCATTTTCTCCAAGTTTACTAAACTCATCTGTACATAGTTTTTTAAAAATTGGCCGTAGTCGGTGTAAAAGTTGTAATCTATGAAAAGAAATGTTTAGATGTTTTCTTTAAATAAATTGAAAATAAGAAAAAAGAAAGGTGTTTGTTAAAGAGCTATTGGGGTTTATAAAGTGAATCATACGTTTGAATAGATTTGGGTTTTAATTTTTAGTTTTTCAACAATGCGCTTCAAAATTGCTTGATACTTAGTAAATAACCTAATAATTTTGTTTGCTCTTGGAATTGCCTTGGATTGATTTGGATTGATTTTTTTGGACCTGTTACCGAATTAAAAATTAACCGAACGTTAAGCGTAGTTATACAGATTAAAATTCGACTTTATTTCTTTCCTGTTAAAGGCAACATTTCAATGTCTTCAGCGGTTAGCGGGAAATTTTAAAGTCTAACATCGTGTACACACTGACATGAAAATACTTTGTACCTGGATGAATGGATCATAGGAGATTTACGTGAAATATTCTTCAATATAAATAAAGATTTATAGGGTCTCGATGATTTATTTTCATAGCACGTATTGCCTAAATAATTTCTCATTATCACTCGTGTGGTTAAATACATAAAGTATAGAATTCATTACCTAATTTCAGTTAATTTAATTATTGTTAATGATTTTTAGCTAACAGTAAATCTCCAAAATGTATACGTTTCTTCCTTTTTGTATTAAATATTCCGATTTAATTACCATAGATTTATCATAATGGCAACAAAATTGTCGTTTATCTTTGTTGTTTAATTTTCCCCACTTTCTGTAAAGTTTTGTTGTTTTTTTGAATTACACCAAATATACAGAGACGGTTTGAAATTTTGTTTGTTGGATCTGTACGAAAAAAGAATAGGTTTTACGTGTCTGTTTTTTTTTTACTTTAGATAATTTTGCTTTCAGAACGTGTCAATATTGTGTCGTGCTATATCTAGACGCTTGAACAATAAATACCTGTACGTACCTTGGAAATATTATTTTTTTATTTTATTTCTATACATTTTCCTGGCAACACAACTAATACTTAATACTTTGTCTAGCGAGATATTATGAACAAATGGCAACATTTAATAGTATCAATGACACTGGCAACATTTATGCATCAACTGGTAATATTAATATCAATATTATTTTTACCGAGAAATGCTGGAAATTTAAAAACTAAAAACACATTTCCCTGTATCAAAAACTTATTGTTTGATAATTCTTTAGTTCATTACATAGATAATACATATATATTCATTACTTTTATTCATATACCAAAAAAAATATTAATGTTTAGTAGTTTGCTTACTTTAATTAGATAAAGATTGTTTCATGTTTTTTTTTGCTTACATATATGGATAAAATAGATAGAAATAAAGTTTATTCTGTGTATAAAATTTATCTGTGTACTATAGCTAAATTGCATTATTGTGTAATTTGTATAACATCAATGTTAGAACTACAAAAATTTTAAATAATACAGAGCTATTTCCAATTTTAGGTTGGTCGTAAATTAGTGAATAGATTAAATATTAAAAAAATAAATATTTATAATATTATTGGTGTTTGGAACTATTAACAGTTTTGTTTTAATTTTGGTCCAAATGGCTCAAAAGCCGGATTTGTATTGAGGAACATACAACACGCGTATACTAAAATCGTACACACTCATAGTTGTTAAATGACTGCTAATAACTGCTTTAACATTTTAAACAAATGATTATATATTTCACGTTTTTTTAATTTGTTGTTAAAAATAAATTTGACACAAGTCACACACGACATTTGCTATATCATTTACATAATACGTATAATAAATAAAATTTAATAAAACAATAAAGAAAAAATGAATTGCTACAAAGATTACACACAAAAAGCACGAAAACTAGGCTTGGTCGAACCGCATATAATATTATGTGGTGATGTTACACCTAAGCTAAATCATTACATTAAAATATTGGACGATTTGCATATTAACGAAGGATCATATCAGGAATACTATGGTGAAGTGAAGAAGATCGTAAATAGCTTCATTATTCACTGGACAGAGGTTATGAATAAAGCGATCAAGGAAGCAGACAAAGTAACAAAACTTGTGAACAGGGAGGAGCTGATAGATTCTGTGCAAAAAACTATTGGATTGCAAAAAATCAAACAGATCTTCTTCGAAAAATCTTTCCTTCCTGTTACTTGTTCTGAGGAAAAAGTAGCTTATGACGAAATCCTAATGCGTAATGACAATCATCTTGAGGGACTAAAGAACTTGGAACATGTTATAAATCAAATGCGTGATCATAAATCGATAGAAGAATTCTCGAAGGATCATTTTAGTAAATCGTTGCGATCCAAGAATGATATATTTCGTTTCACTCACACTTATATTGCTGTGATGTTGTTGAGGAACGTAAGTGAATGGTGAAAAAAATCACTGTTAATTATCTAGTATGCATGTCATAAATTTTAATGCCAGTATTTTTTATGTAATGTTGTTATTATATTTAGATTAACAAAATTCGAATAAGCTTGGAGGAGATCGCACACCGTGTTCGCAATAATCTCCAACAATTGGAGGAAAAACGCGGTGAAGAACTGAACTGTCTTCTCAATCAACTCTACAACAAAAACAAAGAACAACTGGCTGTGTCCAGGAAACCATGGCGGGACTCCTCACAAATTGCCGAAGTAAGAATTGTAAGCAACTACCGAATTTTGTGATAGTTTAACATCCAACGGCAGATCCAGGGGGGGGGGGGTCATGACCACCCCCTAAGCTGGCTTGTTAAATGCTTGACAAAATATATTTACATATTTTGTCAAGCTCTTGACTTGACCACGATTATGTGACCCCCCCTGGCGCCACAGCTGGATCCGCCCTTGTTAACATCTCGTCTAAATAAAAAATATTTTATATTGTCCGGTAAAAATAACAAATTATCCTCTATCTGGGTCTGCTTGTTTTTAAAGTGTATGCAACGATTTTTTTTTCTTACCTTTAAATATAACTCTTAACAAAGTAAAAATGCAGGTTCAAAAATGCCTGGACAAGTTGAAGTGCAGGATAGAATGTCACAAAGAAGGAGTTCTGGCCAGAGTTAAAGAAGAGGCCGATTACTGGAATGAAAAGCTCAAAGAGTTCAATCAGATCGACAAAACTGTCAAGGATCTGAACGAGATAGAACAGAAGATTCGAGAACAACAACAGACTTATCTCAGTTTGAGGTAGATAGTATGGAACTTTATTAGTGAGACCCCACTGCTGTAACATTTGTATCTAATGTAAATATGTCTCCATTTTTTCGGAGACGAGAAAACTTGCGTTGTTCCGTTTATTATACAAGTTTGAATAAGCAACAGTAAGGTTGTGACACTAGTCAAAGTAAGTTACTAGTGGAATGGGGTGTCGGTGTCGGTATTAGTAATATTTTTTTTCACACTTGAATGACCATTTTTTTTTCGATATACGTGACAAGGGATACTGAGATACCGCCAACAAAACGCAGATGTTGGGAGCATATGGAAAAGATGTTCAATACGAAATTAGAACGTCTAGAAGAGAAGAAAAAGGAAGCTGGAAGGGCACTGATTAGTTTCTTCAGTGTTAGAGGTAAGATAAGAGTTTGAGAACCTCTTCCCGCTTTCTTTTCTATGCTAACAAATATGCCGTAGGTCCTGATCATATTTTCTACAATGATAGCATCGGTCGTTACTACGTGGACGAGTACGGCCACAAAGTGTATTGTTATGACTACGGTCTCAACATGTACCACGTCAATTGCAATGGAGAATTCTTTGAGGTAATTGCTTAATGTAATATGATCCACTTCGATGTTTGTCAGATGGTCAATTTGACTATAGAACTATTGTAGTGTTAATTTGTCGGTTTTTCAGGCACATGATACAGAAGCATATTACTATGATGTCAACGGTCGATATGTTCTTGATGCGAACGGTGATAAAACGTACAAAATAGCCCCTTGCACGAGTTCGTATCGCATGGTGAACGATCTGCTCAAAAAGTGCACGGTGGATTGCGGACACTCAGAGCAACAGAATAAGTCATGCAAGATGGATATAAGACATTGCGGAGATAATATCAATGTACCTAAGACTAAGATGCAGAATATAAAAGGTTAAAGAAATTGAAAAATTTAAACAGCAAATTGTTTTTTTTTTCATTTGATTAATAAACTTCTCGATAAATAAAGTCTAAGAATGTTCCTAAAAGAACATCGGAATAGATCCTTCAATGGATTTTTACAGAAGTTGTGTTCTTTCTAGGGACTCTTAGTAAGGAAACTGCGTTATACTTGTGGGACAGCTTTGGCCATATTCTCCCGGAGGTGCTGTACCAAGTAGCTACGGAGCAACCCAAGAACCCGATACACTGCCTCGCTCATAAACTCATACGTTACAAGTAAAATAAATAACATATTTATAAAACTTAAATCTTATTAGTTTATTGCCAAAATGTAATGAGAAGTAGTAAGATGAAATAATTTGTGAAATTCTGTCATAAATACTGGAATTTCAAAAATTACAGGTACAGTAGAACCCTAACAGAAATGGAGCAAAAACGTGCAGAAGCTGCTAAATATCGCGAAAATATTTACCAAGAACGAAAAGATGTTCGTATACTAAAAGACAATGATGAATAATTTTTTTTTCAAATCTAGTTTTATAAATTTAAAATATTCTGCGTGCATTTTCCAGAAAGCGGTAGCAGCCTCTAAGGAGTGGAAGTCTAAGCAAGTGAAGCGTCGCAAACCAGAAGAATCTGATGAAGTTGAAGTTCAGGCCGCTTATGGAGCCCATTTAGCCTGTCAGGAGTTTATTAATTTCTTGCCTAATTTTTATGGATGAACTCACAAGTCTGATTATACAAATAAACGTAATAAAATAAGCAATCTTTGTTTAAAATCTGTCATTTTAGAATAAAAGTATATAGCAAATTAACAGATATTTAGGCATCACAAAATTTAAAACTAGTAACGTAAGAAAGCAGAATAGTATTTGCAAACATCTCTACATACCCCTTTTGGTTACAAATAGTAACAGTACAGTTTTCAGTATGTTACAAAGTACTCTGTGCAAATAGTGTTGTATTTGCTCTGTTAGAAGGGGGTATTTTATATTCTGTGCAGGAATAAATGTTGCCAACAAAATGTTTTTCTCGAAATTACGTAAAAGTAAAATAGAATTTAACGAAAAGAAGGAAATTGATGCACTTTTCGCATTTTTATAATGCAGCTTTTGATTAATTCTTTTTTGCTTTTTTGGTAGTCTTATAATGGCAACATTAATAAATTAAATCAGTGGATTCTGGAGTTATCCTATTATCTGTCAAAAGTTATCGAAATTTTATCGAAAAATACTTGAAATATGACTGATAACATGCGATTTACGGGCGAAGTGTTCACCATACCCTTAAAGTAAACTTCGAAAAGTGAAACTAAATCTGCAAACACCTTCTGTTGCGGAAGATTCCAATATACAAACACTTTCCAGTGTCAACTCCGGCATAAAGGTGATTATAAATATTTTAATACTTTACATAATTTATTTATGTTTCAGTTTTTTTTCATTTAATGTCGTAAATAATAATGCGGCTAGTAAAAATGATATAACATTTGTGAAGGTTATTTATCGTCACATTTGTTGTGAAGTTTTTCCGCGGCACGCTGCCGCTGTCTTCAGATTTTGTTGTTTACTTCCGTCAGTTGGTCTGGGAAGACGTACGTGACTATCATCACAAAGCCATTACGCGCGATGTTTGATTTAATTGAAATAAATTAGTACGTTCAATTTTGTGACCTACTTTACTGTTTATGTAATCATGTATATTATTTAACAGAAATTCTAAAGTGATTGATTATGCGTATTTTTTAAGGTTTCAAACGAGTATGACGCCTTAAGGCCATCGATCCTACATTCGCCATCATTCCAGTTTACAAATTGTGAGAACAAAGTGAAAAATGGCAAGATACTTTGAGAATACAACAACTTTCAACTTTAGTTGGGACCAAGTTGCCTGTGGGTATTGGAAAAGGTACCCTAATCCACAAAGGTAAGATTCAATTTTTATAACACCCATAAATGTCTTTGTTGTGCTTATTTATACAACCTTCTTTATGTTTAAGAAACACAAATTGTCTGTCCTTGTTGTCCACTGAATATTTTTACATATTAAATTATTTTGTACACAGCCATTTGTCAACAATCCAATAAGTAAACTTTGATTGTTCTATTGTTAATTTAATAATAGTAAACAAAAGATCTTGGAAGACAAATGACCTATAAATCCTTAAATAATAAATATTATAAATAACAATTATAATTGGTTAGCAAATTATGTACAGTTGTGGAAATCTGTGGTGTTCCACTTAGATAAATTCCATTGTGCTTTGCAACCACACAAACTTATATTATTACAAATAACAAAATAGCTAACAATGAGTTGTGCAATAGTGTAATATTAAAAGCAATTAACCTTAAAGAAACATTGAAAGCTGCACTCTATTGTTCCAAACTGTTTCAATGTGTACAAAAGATCATCTGACCATCCTTTTAGGAACATCATTAGAATCCCTGACTGTACTTTTTTGACCAAAGTAATAGATAAATGTTCATGTAATTTCTTATAATAACATTACAACATGTGGTAGTATTCTCTATGAATAATGTTAGCCTTGACTTCTAGTTACTATATTTGATTATTTACCTACATTTGTTAATATACAAAGCTATAAATGTGAAATAAATTACTGGTTGGTAAGAATATAACCTTCATTGTAATTACTGTGTTGAAATACAAACCTTATAATCCATTTACCATATCAGATTTTGTAGGTTTTCCTTGTATATGACTTTGTCAATTATTATAATATCAAGTTATTTATTATTTTATCTGTAGATAAAATAAACTAATGCTAAAATTTGCATGTTAGTGGATTGTCAATTTCTAAAGAAATTTATTAAGTTCAGTTCGTATTTTAATACATTTAGGGCCTGTCCCACCACTAGCTCATAAAGGTTTAGATAGCTTAACTTTTTTTTTTATATATTTGTTAAGCTTGACCATAATCCCACCTGAAGGAAGTAATGATGCAGTCGAAAGATGGTACGCTTTAGGTAGCTGTTCACTCTCCTTTTGAAGGCCCCCATGAAATGACGTCACTGTCAGATAAGGGAACAAAATCTGATACTTTCATCACATATTTTACATGTTGGATTGTTATCAGACAATTTACAATTTGGTGGGACAGGCCCTTAAAGTCAAATACTGATTCTCTCAAACAATCTGCTTCACAAGTACCTCTTACAATCTGTTAACGTCATTTTTATGGATTAATTTACTATTTTTTTAACATATAAAATTTGTTTTTCAGTACACATGTGTTATCCGAGGATACATGGAGTCGGCAGGTGAGGGATGGATGTTTGTATACAAAGCGTGTTCTCACAAAAACCAATAGGGTGCCAAAGTGGGGTGAAAGGTATTTATTCTATTGTTGTACTTGTATAATATTTTAAGTACAAATCATAATTCATTTGAATTGTTCAAAAATGATTTTAATTTTTTTGGTTGTAAATATTTTAAATCATTACTTGTTACGTATTTTATCAAAAATGTATAAAAATAAACTGGTAGTGTTGCTTAGTTGTTTATGACAATCAAGTTATGTCAAGTTTTATCTAATCTGTGATGCATTAATGTTATCTTTGTTTTGTTTGTTTCATTACTTTCTACATTAAAATCAACCTTAAAATGTCACGAATTGTATAATGCATTAAGGATTTATACATTTGATAAGCGAGTTTATTTATTAAGAAGACATTTGCATGAATTTGAAAGCAATATTAAATGACAAAAAAATGTCATCAAAATTGGTTTATACCTTTGAAATTCAGAAAATTTACTAAGTAACTAACTTTCGCCCGCGACTCCGTCCGCGTGAAATTAAAAAAAAAGTAAATAGTCCATGTATTCTACCAGACTATCCTCTTCAAATTTCATTGAGAGAGAAAAATATCTAGGTAAAGCCATTCTTGAGTTATAAATAGTGTAACTAAAACGACTTTCTTTCATATATATGAATAATTAAGAAGCAAAGGTAGCCTAATGGTTTATGGGATACCAATCTAAGTCGTAGGTTCAAATCCCGACATTTGACTATTGTGAATTCAAGTTTATCTGGAATTAAAAATATCTAATATTATAATCAAGTCAACCAACCCGCACTTGGCCAGCGTGGTTGACTATGGCCTAGTCACCCCTTATTAGGGTAGGCTCCGAGCCCCTCGTTGGGGACGTATAGTGAGCTGGTGATGATGAATATTATAATAAGTAAATAAAAAAATGTTTTCCAGGTTTTTTAATGCCAAATCCATAAAGATTATCGAAGAGAGTATAGTTGATCCGAAAGAGAAAGTTCTAGTCACTTACACAAGGAATTTGGGATACACAAAAGTCATGGTAAGATCAAATGTTATAGTTTCTTCTAGAGTATATCTACCACAGAGATATGAAAATAATTCTACTAAAATATAGTTACTAGTTGTTACTCGCGTCTTCGCCCGCGTGAAATTAAATTTTTAAAATTGACCAAGTGTTTTTTGAGTTATTGCATTACATACAAAGATACAAATCTTTCTTTATTAGTATATAAATATGTGTAGGAAATGTAAGTGGTACAGTCATAGTTCAATGCAATCTACAGTGTAAAGTACACTGCAGTACATTACAGAGTACAGTTCTGAACAGTACAGTACAGTGGAGCACAATGCAGTAGACAGTGCACTGCAGAGCTATGCAGCTCATTATTTTTATCGCAAATAAAATTTAATTTTTAAATTAAAAAGCTACGTATCCCTCGGGAACTGGACATTTCTCGGGGATGAACCTTATCTCATGTGTACTCCAGACTTTGTTTTATATCTGTGCCAAATTTCAATATGTTATGTTGAACCGTTGCAGAATGATCGAGTAAACATTAAAAAACTAAATTAATGAATCCCACGGGAACCGTAACTATTCCCGGGATAAAAAGGAGCCTATGTGTTCTTCCAGACTATACTCTAAACCTGTGCCAAATTTCATGGAGATCCGTTCAGCCGTTTAGGCTACAAACGCTAACAAACATCCATCCATCCATCTAAACTTTCGCATTTATAACATTAGTATTAGTAAGATAATTCCGCAAGCATTGAATAGAGTGCGGTATAGTACAGATGTATTGAGGTATGTTGTATGTTACTTAGAGCGTGGTGGAGCGCGTGGAGTACCGTTCTCTGGGCGGGGGGCAGACGGTGGCGCGCCGCTCCGCCTGGATAGACTCCCAGGTGTTCGGCTTCTCGCGCGCCATACGAGCATTCGGCGTCGACAGGTTCCGCAAGAATTGTACGCAGATGGTGAGTCACCACACACTACACTACTCACCACACACCACACTACTCACCATATAGAACGCTCATGTTGTTACAATAAGACATCAGGACAAAAATATGAATTCTAAATACATTAGTCTGTTTAGGTTACCCAGGTCACAGTTATGGTTGCATACTAGAAATATTAAGCATTTCTCATTGTGAGTACAGCTTACAATCTGATTGGTGTCAAGATTTTGAATGAATTTAGGGGTTTTATTATTCATTTAACGTATAAAGTTTTATTTACTTACTAGCTTTATCCTACGACTCCGCTCGCGCGAGATTAAAAATAAAAAACAAAACTGAGTAGTCTATGTGTTCTTCCAGATTATCCTCTACATCTATACTAAATTTCATCGAAATCCGTTCAGCTGTTTAGGCTGCAAACTAACAAACATCCATTCAGCCATCTAAACTTTCGAATTTATGATCTTAGTGAGATTTATAAAAGTTTACTATACAGACAGATTTTTCTTACAGTTATTTTTTCTATAATGAACTACATTAAATTTCTTACATCTAAATTATTTTTCAATCTGCTACAATTATATCTATCGTACCAAACGTAATAATCAAAGTTTGGTTATTTTACTGTTAGGTGAATGGTTTCAACCACGTGTTGCACGCGATGTTCCCGCGAGCGGCGGCAGGGGCGGGGGCAGGGCCGGCGGCGGGCGCGCCGGTGCGCGAGGCGCTGCGCGAGATGCGGGACGCGGCCGCCGCCGCCACCGGCCGCGCCACGCACAACGTGCTCTCCGTCAACACCACCTAACACGACTAACGCACTTGACGGTCAGTGGCACATATATGAAAAATAAAGTTACATTTCAGGTTAAGTGCCAAAAACCCAATGGCCTACCTACCAACCAACCAATTTAATGTGTACTAGCTGTTCCCATGCGGCATCACCCGCATGAAATTACGAAAATTTCATTTTATTGTTTACATTTGTCAAATTATCAATTACAAATGTCAAAATCTTGCTTTCTTGATGTTGGCAGCAACTTATGGTCTCTTTCCCATTAGGTTTTTATCCAAAATATGTACCCCCTAAGTTTGATGGCGTGAAATTATATAACCTAAAGCGTGACGTAAGTGTAGGGCTTATTATTGAAAAAAGGATTATTCAAAAACATGCTGTTATTGCTGACATCGTAGGCAACAAAGAAGTGTGTGTTTACGCTTTATTATAAAGGTACATGTAGATTGTTTTTAAATTAGGCTTACATAATATAATACATATAAGTGATATAAACTGTGAGGGATAGAAATAAGGTTTTTTGTTTAACTTAAAAATAAAGACACACCCACTCCCCAGGTCCCTAACTTAAAATGTGTTAGTGGAACAAGAGGGCGACACAAAGCTGTCATGAAATAAAACCAATTTATCGTTACCATGGTAATCTTGGTTCTTTGCTGCTATTGGCTTATAGTGTTTGTTACTTCCCGGTTGATGATTTGGCCCAACATTTACCAACTAAATTAAATAGTGTAGGCTTTTTGCTAAAAATACTCAATAATTTTTTTTGTTATATAGTATACCAGCCATCACACAGTATTATTGTACAATTCTTTTTTTTTTTACGGTTTAGGTTATTGTATAATTCTTTTTTTTATATTTCAGGCTAAAAAAATTATGTATACCACCTAAATACTATATAATTCTGTGTTTAACTTGGGTCTAACCAAGTATATCCCTGGTATAAATAGTTTTATTTAGTTAATATCTAATTAAAAGGTAACTTTGTTGATAATTACAGGCCTATTCATCAGGAGCAGCCGCTTGTGTCAGTTGCCAGCCATAAACATTTAACTGTCAGTGTGTCATAGAGCAATCATCACAGAGCAGTCCATAGACAACACTAAAGTTTTATTTTGTTGTGGAATATGTGAACTGAAATTTCAGTGATAAATCATAATTATAAACTCTGATTAAGAGAAATGTAATTAAATACCTCATTATTATATTTTTTTTGTATAAATTAGCAATTTTTAATAACAGACTACGTTCAATTAACAACTTCTATATTATACAGAAATATATACGGTAAAATCATTATTTGTATAAACTGTGTTCTTATTAAAAAATAAAATGTAGCTCTACCGAGCTATTTCTGAAACATCTGAAATAATAAACTGTGCTTTGACTTGAAATTTCAAATAAAGATCTTTGTAACTATTTTACCCTTAAAAAACAGCATAATATTTATAGTTTAATAAACAATATAGGGTTTAATGCTCGTTATATTCAATTATCGATTTTTTTAGTTCATGAAAATAATCATGTTAATATGTATAAATTTAAATGTTGTAAGAATCGAAAAATATTTGTAATATTATCGAGCTAAATATTGATGAATATATCTAAGTAATTTTAGACAACTTATTTAATTGATACTGTCGCTTTAAACTGAGCAACACTTCTCGTCAAGACTCAGGTTGCGCGCCAATCTATCCATACTTCTAGTGACATTGACAGCTGTCAGCTAGGGACGTGACGTTTATGCCGGTAATCTAGAGTTGCGCTAATTCTACAGCACGGTAATTATTTTGTTTTTAACAGTAATAATTAAAAAAACCTAACTTCTATATCCATACTGTTTACGTAATAATAGCTTTTAGTTACATGTGCAAAATAAATTAAGTAATTCACTAACAATGGCTTAATATCTATCTTAAACATATTTAAATTCTATAGGACATTTAAATTAGATCTCTTTTGTGGGGATTTTAAATTTGATCAAATTTAAATTCACATTTTGTCAACATTCCCCACCCTTTCCCTTTCCTGTTTTAATTCTATTAATGAATTTAAGGAGGGACAACTCCCCTCCCCTGCCTTGCTTTGTTCCCTTATGAATATGTCTAAATCAGATTACAGTCAAAAATATATGAATAAAAGTGTTAAAAATATGACCCATTAAGAAGCTTAAAAACACTAATTTAGCCAATATTTATGAAATTATATTACTTTCCATGTGTACACTGCCTTTTTTGCATAAATTTTAGCTACTCGTACCTTTAACCACATTCCTACTGTGACCTTGGAATATGCTTGTGAGTTGAGAAAACGTTTTTATTATTAAAAAATCTACTGTCTATAGATTCAATATTTTATTAAATTTCGTTTAACTTCAGGTTAACTTACTGGGTTAGTTAAAATGTCCTTTATCAACTTTGTAGTGAATATTGAAATAAGCATTTAAAATTGACTGAACTTGTATTAGTGTCTGAATTTGAGAACCAAATTTTATGCCTTTGTTGAAAAAAAAAAATAATGTGTAAATGCATAATGTAATGAAATATTTTTTTTAATAATGTGAAAAATGCTTTGTTTATGAACTTTATTTGAATATTGCAAAGAAATAGTGTCACTTTGTAATGTAAATATTTTTATGTAAATCAGTTACGAAATATTTACCATAAAATCTTTTTTTAAATATCTCATTTTTACATCTATCATCTTTTGTCTGATTATTGCAAATCATTGTCAATTTTAGTATTTCTAGGAATTATGCATTTTAGCGTTTACTAATGATTATGAGTAAGAAATTTTAAAATAAATTATAAAAAAATTCATAAAAAATATCTTTTAAATCTTAACAGAACTTATAGAACATTTATGTATAAAGGAAAGTCGAAAATAGCTTTTAGGTTCAGAATTTGTATTTAAATAGTAGAGTGTTAGAAATATAATTAGAAGTAGCTCTCAATGTGGGAATGTGAAATGGAAAGACGGAGAAATAAATTATTTACATAATAATTTGATGTTTTTTTTCTTCTACTTGTCTGATGTAATTGTCCATGAACAGAAAAAAAAAATTGCTTATGGAAATTTGTCTTAAACCCACTACACTCTTTTAACGGAACAGTTGAATTTAGTTAAATGTGTGTTGGCAATATTGTAACCATCAGTGGAACCGTATAGAATGGGCGCCTTCGACTAAACCATCGCACAATTGTTGTGCGACTGTTGATTGTTTTGCAGCCAATTCCACTATCTGGTTGCACAACTAAAAATCAAGTAGTGTGCGCACATCAGCAGATGAAACAATTGACAATCGCAAAACGGTTGTGCGATTGTCAATTGTTTGTCAAATTCAAAAAAATGTGTTGAACGGACTAAAACAGGTAATGTGTTAAATTTTTTTATTTCTAGTCTAAACTAAACTAGTTTATTCAAACTATTTAATTTTGATTGCAGCTCGTAGCCGTGCACTCCTACTTCTAGGGTTCCTTTCTACTTCATCATCAGATGGAACCTCCACATGCTTGTTAATCGCTTTCCACGGAGTGTCTAAAAACTGATTGATAGTTTCTTGATCTTGTACTAAAGTCGGACTCAAATATCTTAAAGGTACAGGATTAGCAACATCATTGATAGTGTTGCCAGCTATATGCCTTTTTACTATTGTATCTTCTAATGAATGAAAACAAATTGTTACCAACCTACCATTAAGTTTTAAATAATATTTCGACAATACCATACCATAATTTATTTCATTTAATTCATTATTAACAAATATCCTTAATGCTTGGAACACTTTGGTAGCATTTGATTGAGGTCTTTGTAATTTATCAAGTCTAAATTCATTAGGACAACAAGAATCAACAATATCAACCAATTCACTGGTCGTTTCAATGTTTTTAATCATATACCTAGCTTGTATTATAGTCTGTGCAATTTTCGCGGCCTTTTTTTCTTCACCATAGACTTTAAAAATTTTATACAACTCCTGTTCGTTAGCGGTAGCTAACACTTCTCTGGCAGTTATTTGATTTGGATCTCGACCTGCATCCATTCTCATATCTAAATAACCATTTTTGCTTATTGAAAATCCTCTTTCACCATTATCTAGTTGCATTGATGAACACCCGAAATCAAATAGTATACCATCTATGGATGATTGTTTTATATTTTTCTCTTTTAAGAGAGCTGGCAACTCACTAAACCTTCCAAGTAATGGTACCACTCTATTTGGGAACTCATTTGCCAGTTCTTTGGCCTTTTCATGTGCTACAGGGTCTCTGTCAAGTGTTATTATCCTACAATCTGCAGATGTAAGCAACTGTCTAGAGTGGCCACCTGCACCAAACGTCATGTCTATGTACAATTCATTGTCATTTGGTTGTAAATATTTATTGACTTCATTTAGCATTACAGGCACATGATCCTTGTATTGTGCCGCTTCTGTGTTTATTTTACGCTTAAAAGTGTACCGATAGAAATGTTTCAATTGTCGAGAAAACATTTTTAATCTTTGTTAAATATCTTTTTAAAGAAACCTTTATTTTCTTCTTTCAAGTAAGATAAAACTTCATTGGAAAGCATCAAATTACACTCCTCTGTGCTAAGACCAGTTGCTGTACTAGTTTTGAGTCTTTTATATTTGTTTTTATAGTAATTGTCGGCTAAACGATTCAGAGAGTTGTATTGTCGGTTACACAAATCGGTGTCTAAATTTTGTGTTTGTGTAATATCGAATGCTGCCTTTACTTTGTCACGGATGAATTTTCCTAGATCCCTGGAAAATGAGCATTAAATCAATAATTACATAACATTTTAAGGTTTAAAATACGTTTTATTTGTGTACGTAAATGTGAACTAACCTGTCACCCTTTGTACTATCAAGGGGCCACTTAGCTATGAGTTTTGTAAATTTTTTGTATTGCGTAGTCATAGCTTATACATTATGCGAAGCTATTTTATCAGAGTAATTTATTACAATTTCACAGACAAATTATGGATTTTGAAAAATAACCTAAATCAACGAATGACATTTAAATGACATATGACATCGACGTATTGTCAATACACAGGTTATAAAATGTTGTGCATTGTGTAAAGTACGCAGATTATATATTTTTTTGTTTTGATAATAAACGGACAGACTGGTTCAAAAGCTTAACACCTTTATACAAACTATCGCACAACTGTTGAGTAATTGTCGCTTGTTTCGCAGCTCATTCAACAGTTTAGTTGCACAAGTAAAAATCGAGTAGTGTGCGCACCTCCATTAAGCTCATAGGAATCAAAGTGCGATAGTTTAGTTAAATGTGTGGGCGCGCTCTAAACCTTATGAATGCGTTAAACAAATCTTACGTAGGTCTTTTTGTATTTATAGATTTGCTTTTTGTATTTATTGTAATTGTTATTTAAAACTACTGGGCCGATTTGACTAAATCTTCACGAGCCACAATTGCTCTTTTATTCTTTATTTATTACTTTTTTTATTCAGCGGACAAAACCACGGGCTAGTTATCAATAAAACAAGAAAAACAACGTAAAGTCTCGATTTAATTCAATTACTATGATAGTTTCAATTCAATGACATAAAAAGTACCTTCGATTCAAACGTGTTTTTGCTCTCTAGAGTCAATTTGTGAAAGTATTGGTCATGCAGTTTGCCGATTGCGATCCTTTGTTGGCCTCAATTTCCTATCGGATTGCTGACGTCACTGGAAGTATCCCTCGATGTAAGGGTACATTCACATTTAACACAAAATGACATGCGTGGCGCATATAACCACGTTTTCCTTTAATAAAGTAAATTTCCTTCCCCGTAGACATTTAAAAATACATGTACGTTGTGTAATCTGGACGATCCTCGGCGGTATTTCCTAACCAATACGACCTAGGGTCCTTCGAGAAGCGAGCCTACCACTTCAAAGGCCGTCAACGCATCTGTAGTTCCACTGGTGTTGCGGATGTCCATCGGCGTCGTTGATCATCTTGGTGTTCCAGCCATCCACTTGCCTCCTTATCTTATAAAAAAAAAAGATTGCGTGTGTGTATGTATCCTATTGCTATGATTGATTGAACGTAACCTCATTAGGGGCATCTACCGATGTCTGGCGGCCCATTTCAAGACGATTTAAAAATGTTTGTCACATTACGAATTTCAAACTGTTTTTACGAAGAACGAAAATAATTTTGTCGTTAGCGTTTTTTTTTTTCAAGACGTTACAAATATTTTTTAAATAACATATTTGTTAAAAATATTGTAATACATTACAGCTTTAATATTTATTGCGTAATATGTATATTTTCAAAACTTTTGCGCCTAAATCTTACTAATATTAAGAATGCGAAAGGTTGGATGGATGGGTGTTTGTTAGAGTTTGTAGCTTAAACGGCTAAAAGTCGTTGAAATTTGGCTTAGATATTAAGGATAGTCTGGAAGAATAGGCTACTAACTTTTACCTTTTTTTATTCCACGTGGACGGAGTCGCGGGCGAAAGTAATCTTGTGATAACAAAAGAATGCAGTTTGATTTATTTGTCGATTTTGTTGCTTTTGTAACAAATTAAATATATTAAGACTATAGGTTATATCAAAAAAAATTAATAAAGAAGATATTGTAATATAACGTTGTCAGTGTGGTTCGTTTGAAACGCGAAACCCGTGTCTTCCGTCGAGCGAAATGAGGGCAACATGAACCGTTATATTTGCCCAGCCTCGTCTTTATTGCTCGACTTCCCGCCCAAGGACGTACTCTCCCACTGCACTTCTGAACGACTGATTTTGTTCCCGAAAATCAACATTTTTTCCCCTCGACTTGTCTCTTCCTACTATTAACAACTACAACAACGACATAGAAGTAACTTTACATTTCATTGCTGCTTTAGTACTGAAGCTGGAACACATCTTCGATGTTTAACAAGCGATGGAATTTATTTTTCTGTAAGCGTTGTCATCGAAGACGTGATTGGTGGCGGGTAACGCTGAACGTTACAAAGTGTGAGCCTTTTGTCTAGATTAATGTACGTTTTCATCAATGGTTTAGAATTTTATCCCTTTCGGTATTAACAGCGATTACGGGGTGACAAAGTTTGTTGATATAACACTCTGGAGCAAACACTTTCACTGTGAATAAAGTTATTTTAATAAAGGCGCGTATAATTTTCTCATTGTTATGGTCATATCTCCTTTCCGCAAATGGGCTTAATCGTCAAAGCAAAGACTAGTTTGAGCTCGTTTCAATAATCCTTAGTTTCAAAGGTGACTTTTATAATATTATAAATGTTATTTTCCTCTTTATTACGCTACGCAACGCTACTCGCTACAGGATCATAGTACTACGTAGTGATTGTGTAGCGAATCGTAACAGACTTCGTAGAATCGTACGAAACGAAATTGATAGAACAATTAAGGAGAAGTTTTCGTACATATTTGTACCTATTTGTGGGCTCTACGTTGTATATCTATTTGATTATGTGATGAATTTGTATGTATAAAAACGTTTAGTAAGTTTCAAGTTCAAATATTTATACTTGTAAAATACAATTTTAGTGGAAGTCCAGCTTAACCCGTGGGCGGGTTGCGCGCGCAAACGGCCGCCATTCTGTCTGCAGTCGGTGTCGGCGCGCGACGCTCGCGCCATGCAACGGCAGTTGCTCTAAATTACATAAGCTTAACTTATTATATCTTAATTTCGAGTGTATGTGTATGTAAAAGTGTGTAGTGTTTGTTTAATTTAATATTTGGATGCTGACGGTGGATAGAAGTTGTGAAGGTAAGGAAGTTTCCGAGTATATCCTTTAGACGCTACGCTATATCCTACGTCCTTGTTAGATATATTATCTTCCATTGTATACATATGTAATGCATTTAAAAAGTCAACTTAAACACGTTTTTTTATTTAAAAGTTCTTATAAAGATTCCTATATAGAAGTATACGAGTTAGTCCTGTTTTTGTTTGTTATTGGCTTGTTTCGATTATTGATTTTGTTGCAAGGCTTCTATTCTTTAGACGAGTTTAAAAGTCGTGAAGACAGAAAGCTAATGAAGTGAATAAACGTCGCTCGTTAATTTCATTGTGTACAGAATTTTGTGTTCAATATCGTATTTCGATTGTATACAAAATTAGAATAAAACGTACAATAGAATATTAATTTAAATACAAAAGGCAAATTTGCTAAATTTTTAATAGACTGAATTCGTCTTTCTTCTTTTGGAACCGTGATTCGCGTATTTTTTAAAAATGTAATTTCTATGTGTGATTTTCACTTTGGCGTTGCTTCTTAACTTAAATAAATCTTAAAAAAAATCATAAAAATTTGTTGGTTTGTATTTTTCAGTTATAATTTTTAACTTATTGTGTAGTTGACACAATATGATAGTTTATAAAAGTGCGTCGGCTTAGTGATTTGAGCACTTGACTTGTAATCTACAGGTCTTGGTTTCGAATCCTGCTGTACTAATGTCATTTTCGATTTTTTCATATGTACATAATTTACCCTACTTTGTTACGGTGAAGGAAAACAACGTAATGAAACCTGCACATATCGGCGAAGAAATTCATAGATATCTGCGAAGTCTACCAACATACAGTGGGCGAGCGTGGTTGACTATGGCCTCGTCACCCCTTACTTAGGTTAGGCTTCGAGTTCTATAGCGGGGACGTGTGCTGAGTAGAATAGACAAGGAGTTTTTTATATTTGTTTTCTACCGTCTTTATTGACGTATAATAATATATCTAATGGCTTTCTTCTCAGGTAGAAATGGTATTGTAAAGGTACACATTAGTTCAAGCGTAAAAAGGATTCATGTTAAATGTTAACTAAGTCGTGTAGGAGGGAGGCACAACCCACGCGCTTACGAAATGTCAATTCATTGAAACAGAAACACTCGGTTCAAAGTCTGTGAATATTATGAGTATAAAATTATAATCTTACTAATATTTTAAATGTGAAAGTTTAGATGGATGGATGTTTGTTATAGTGTGTAGCCTAAACCGCTGAACGGATTGCGATGAAATTTGGTGTAGATGTGAAGTTGGTCTGGAAGAACACATAGGCTATTCACTTTTGTTTCTTCCAATTCCACGCGGACGGAGCCGCGGGCGAAAGCTAGTTTTAGATAAGTATATAACTGAGTTATATTTTTCCTTAACAAAGGATTTTAATGATTTTGTTATGTTCAACAAATGCGAAAGTTGTTGGATAAAGGTATAGATATAAAAATAGTCTGGAAGAACCACATAGACTACTTACTAAATATTTTTAAATTAAGCGCGGACAAAGTAGCGGAGAAAAGCTTGTGTTTAATAAAAGCAGTTTATTTTATTTTTATCCTAGTAAAAATAACATTCATAGTTAATGTAAATTTTAAATTTAGCAATGCTGAAAGCTTTAGAGAGGAGAAAATAAATGTACTTTTTTCTATAAAAAAATATTTTTAAAGAGATATCTAAAATTTTCATGAAAACAAGATGAAAGTTATGAATAGTCGGTGCTGTAAGTTAGAAAAATATACTTTTCCTTTGATAAATACGAGTAAAGAGAATTTCTCCTCAAAAGCAAAGTTTATCGGCTTTAGATATCGTAAAGATCCGAGTGTAAGAGTTTTTGCAGACTGAAAACGCCTTGTAAAAGTTCCTTACATTACTTCGACGTTAGTTCGAAAAGGTCCGACGTGTTAGCTCTATAAATTGGAGTAAAAATCCTTTATTTCGAAGATTCAATTTATGCGATACGGTTTCTAGGAAAAGATGGTATCCATACTCGAGTAAAACATAATTGTTCTTATAATGTAAAACATCTGACAATCAAGTTACATAACACACGCTTTGAAAGGCGTAGTAACGACTTTCGTCTTGTGGGAAATCACGTTACAATTACCAAGTAATTACTTTAACTTCATATACCTTACCTTGTAATGGTCCTTTTACATTGTCAGTTACAATATCAGTCTGTTATTAAAGAAAATAAACGCATAATGTTATTTGATCCTTGAATTTCGTATAATATCGCACAACTGTTGTGCGATTGTCGATTGTTTCGCAGTCAATTCAACTGTTTAGTTGCACAACTAAAAATCGAGTAGACCTCCATATACCATAAGCGCATAGGAATCAAAGCGAGACTAAAGAGTTGTGGCATGGATTAATCAAAGGTCTGCGCTTACTAAAGACATTATAAATCTAAAGACTAGACATCGACAAATTATACTATAGCTTGAATTACTTTGTTTCCAGTGTTAAAAAAAAAAGTCAGTAGTAACGTCAATTGTTCGTAGGAAATACGCTTTTACACAATGAACTCTTTTAGTGAATTCATAAATGTTTTTACCTGCAATTTGCAAATAAGACAATTGTTGACGTTGCTCTTTGCTTCGTAGTAAGGTTGACTTAACAATGAGTTTACACAAGAGCGAGGCAACGCATATTCTTATAGAACAATTGACGTAACTCTGAGGGTCATGTCCTATGAAGATGTACAATCTTGCATACAGGAAATGTAGGTGAAAGAGCATTTGATGATTTTGTCCAATTAACTTTCTCGGTAATTTATGTATGATTACCTGTCAAGAGGTCTGTGTCTGTCTATTAGGAATAGATTAATAAAATTAATTAATAGTTCTAAATATAACACACTAGTTGTTCCCGTGCGGCTTCATCCGCATGAATTTATGAAACTTTGTTTTATTGTTTACATCTGTCAAATTATCAATAGCAAATGTCAAAATGACATGACATGACAAACCTTGGCAATCTTACTTTTTTGATGTTGGCAGCAACTTATGGTCTCTTTCCCACATTAGGGTTTTTATCCGAAATATTAACCTCCTAAGTTTAATGGCGTGAAAACATGTAGCCTAAAGCGAGATGTAAGTGTAGGGCTTTTTATTAAAAAAAGTATTATTCAAGAATATGCTGTAATTGCTGACATCTTAAAAAAAAATTAGCCTATGTTACTGATAACGTAGCTTTTTAATGGTGAAAGAATTGAAATCATCCCAGTAGTTTTTGAGTTTCAATTCATAGGATACAAATTGTTCCTCTTTATAATATTAGTATAGTTGAAAGGGATAAAAAAGGTTTACAGCAATGAATACTCACCGTAACATCCGATATCAAAAACTAAACTCTATTACGTATAAAAGTTGTAACAAGGTGTGGCGGTAACGGGCAACTTCGGCAGTTAGCGCGGAGTTAGGGTCAGCGTAGGCAATTAAAATATCGAGATGAAGTCCGTGCTCGCTCCAGTTAGATAAGTCACTGTGTTATGTTGGGAATTATTGAGAGAAAACTTTTGTCTGTTAGTTATTATGTCAGTTATATAGTTACCTTTTTTTCAACTGATTATTTGTTATAAAACAGTATAAGTGCGCGCGCACACCTTTTTAGTAGCTCTTTGATTCCTATAAGCTTATATGGAGGTGCGCACACTACTCGATTTTTACTTGTGCAAATAAACAATCGAAAGACTGCGAAAAATCGTCAATCGCACAACTATTGTGGTGATGAACAACAAAGGTGTGCGCCCGCTCTTATACAAGCCGATTCACATTTTTGATGTCATAAAAATAAGCCGAAACTCGACGACGACATGCAGAATGTGCCACTAACCTCTATAAATTGACAGGCTATAAACAGTGGCATTTTGAGTCTGTAGTTGGTCGCGGGGATGGTTTATTTACCTAGTAATACTGATAGACTTAACTGTTAATAAGATCAAAAGGGAAATTTAAGTTGGATAATGATACGATACGATACAATAGCTGTAATTTCCATACATCCATTTTTACAGATTAGTGATTTTCGAATTGTACCCTTCTGTCTAGGAATTTATAACTGAGAGATCCGGAGGCCTAATTTTAGTCCCTTTCCCTTTCCACCCTTTTCTTAAGAGGAGAGTGTGGGAAAGTGGATTCGACGGTAGAGACGCATAGGAAGGGAAATGTCATCTTTAGGTGCGTCTTATCCTCCGTCAATTATGGGTAGGTAACGCATCTGCAATTGCGGATGTCTATGGGCAGCGGTCGCTTTCCATTTCCGTGGATTCAGGTGGCCGCTTGCTCGTTTGCCACCTTATATTATGTTAAAAAAAAATCCTTAAATGTTAACGTTATCGAAGTGGCTTAAGATGGTTTGAAATAAGATAAGAAAATTAGATCTCGTACCGCGACGTGAAGCGGAGATTATAAAGTTTTACAGGTTTACATAACGCCTTCGTATATTCAGCTAGCGGCTTAACAATTTCTGCCAATTATATTACGTTTAGTCTTATATTAATTTGGATTTTCGTCGTAACATCTTGAAATTACGCTTTTTATTAGAAAATAATTGAATTAAATCAGAATTATATGTATTTACGGTTTAAGAATCTTTATTTACCTTAATAAAAATTTACAATTTACTCACTTAAGGTAATAACTTATGCTAAATATAATATTTTAATGAAGCGTACTGACAATTTATTATACATTTACTAAATGCGGGAAGCTACAAAATATTATGTATACAAACTAATACTATTATTGCGTTGCATCGAGATATGGAATACTGGATGTGGCATGGAATATTTTCATTAATTAATTTATTCTATAAATTTTGTTTTGCTTTTTATTTTTAATAACTGTTTTTTTTATACGTATCTTTTTACTCCCATTATTTTAGAAGGAAATCTTACATTGTATTAACTAAGCTATTAACTTTATATAAGCTTAAACATTTTATACAACAGCGTTAAGTTGGTGCTTAAATCCTTGTCCAAGTTGCGACGTTTAAGC